ACACCACAGAAATGAGACAACCCCCAAATCCAAAAGCCAAAGGCTTGTGCGGAAGGGGGCTACACTTGAAAAAACGCGGACAAACACCCATTATCCATCGACATTGCCAGTGCCGACACCGGGGATCGAACCCGGACCAGAGTAGGAAGCCTAGCCGAGAAATGCTTGCCACCGCACTCTCGACCGACTGCGCTACCGTGGCGGTTTATTTGTTGCATTTATTTTTTTGACCTCTAATTTTTATATGTACACATTTAAGATTAACCCTGCGTCCTATGAAATTTATAATTTTCATTTGATTCTTCGTAATTTGTGTAGGGGGAACAAGTGCAAAGAAACATTATTGTAGTAATACTGTTCCCTATTCCATTTTATTAGTATTATTTTAAGGCCTAAATATAAATTTAAATCTTTAGCTTTTATTGTGCACTGTACTTTCTTGTTCTTAAACGCAAACATTAGTTCTTCGAAAATTAGAAATTAACCAATAATTGTGCATTACCTTTCATAACATTAATTTCATGTTGCATTTTTTCCCATATTCGTTTTCTGTATTTACTGAAAAGTTATTTTAAACTGGCCCTCAACGCTCCCCAAATGAAATAATTACATGGGTTTAGGTCCGGGCATCGAGTTGGCCATTTTAAAGTGGCATTATTCTACCTATCCATCTGTTAGACCTTTAATAACCTGTAATACCTATATGTACTCTGTAATACCTGTAACCTGTAATAACTGGTCCTTTAACACTCTATTAACGGAACTTTTTGAAAGCCAACCTCTGCTGCTAAACGCCTTTTATTTACTTGAGGAATTTCTTCGACCCTTTCCAAAATTTGTTCCTCCAGCTGAATAATTCCGGACGTACATTATCCACGATTTAATGTTACAGGTAAAAAACGTCCTGGTACCCGAAGGCGTCTCTCCGCATTAGCAAATGTTTTGTGATTTGAAGTTCTTCGATTAAGAAATCTTTCACCATATTATGTTCGAACAGTAGCACAACAATTTTCTTCAGAATAACCCAAAACTACTAACATATCAGTTTGTTCAGCAAAAGTATAAATTGCAATAAAAAAACAAAGTAAGCTAAAATTAAATCACAGCTAGCTTGACACAGAACCTTTTAATTATTGTTATGAATTTGTTTCTCTGTTATATGGCACCTCGTACTAGAATGTTCTATTTATCTTAAACTGATTTTATATTATTTAATGCGCAAAAATGCCAATTTTACTCGAAATCCATAAACGAGGCAAAAAATCTTCAAAAATAGTGTATTTTTAAAAATATAAATTCTGTCGTCATTGGCGTACATATAAAAAAGTTACGGGATAGCCAGTGGCGCACAGGCACTAGAAATATAACATCCTGTATATGTGTTCTCACCAAATTCTATATTTACATTGCCCTTATATAAAAAAATATGTGTACCAAATTTGAAGTTTCTAAGAAAAAAAGTTTTCAAATTATTTGAAAAAAACTAGGTTATCTGTTCTATATTTAGAAGGCTATATCTCAGTAGGCGTGCACTTTTGTATATAGGTAAGTTAGGCTAAATAGTCTTNATTATTTGAAAAAAACTAGGTTATCTGTTCTATATTTAGAAGGCTATATCTCAGTAGGCGTGCACTTTTGTATATAGGTAAGTTAGGCTAAATAGTGTTGTTTAAATCCAAGGAATCGGTGCATGGTCAAGCGTTGTCCATCATTTTCAGGATGGACAACATTCATTAAATAAACTAAATATAATTTCAGTACATATGCACTACACTGTATTAATCTGTTTAAAGGAGCCATTAAATTTTGTTTGTTTTTACAGTTTTTGTTTTTCTGTACATAAAAATCTGCAAATTGGTCCGAACCAAAATCATAATTGTTCTAGAATTCTAATTACGTGCTAAAATCGTGACGAGAATTAAATTTGTGGCGCCATCTTTCGAATAAAAATGGTGCTAATATATGATACTTGATAAATATTACAGTATACTTTAAATTTATAGGCGGTCATTGTTTGAAATATTTTCTACAATATTTTAGTCAAGGAGGCGGTCATGTAAGGTAGTGTCTACCAGTATTGATAGATGGCGCTATCTACATGGAAAACACGGGAAAACGTAATGATTCATAACCTTAAAAAAAAATAATTGGTTTAAATTCTATTTCTAAATGTAACCTGTAAACGTTCAAAATTTTGTCCACCGACTCGTAATCATGTTTGGGCACGCTTAATCATGTTTTGACCAACAAAAATATGTTATTTCCTAATAAAAATAGGTTATAGTTTTTAAGTCAGGAAAACGTGGTGGCCACGCAAATAAAAGGTAATCTGCTAGTACTAATGTTTGGAATGCTGTAAGTACATCATAGGGTTACAATTTGCTTTAAATCTGATAGAACTAATTTTCAAATGCAAAATACATTATAGTTACTACTTTGTTTCAAGTAAATTGGAAACTTCACTTATTACAGGCAATGCAACCGTAATTATTCAAGAACAAAAAAAAACAGGTTTTTCAGATGTAAACCATCAGCGCCATATTCTGAAGAACCAAATTAGTGATGTGCGATGTGTACAAGAAAAATTGTTATGTGCAAAAAATATAGACGAGATTTTACCATTCTTGTTGTCCCGATAACAGAAGAGGAAGAAGAACAATAACTATTCGAAGTTTTCATTGAGGTTAAACAACCAACAGAAGTTACGGTTTTATATTTACATTTCAAAGAAAATTGTTGCAATGACTGGTGTTCAAGAAACTTCGTGTAAGCTTTGCCTCGAAACTGTAACCGTTAAAGGTTTTGAGGTAATAAACAACGTTATGAGAGATATTTCAGATGTTCTTTTGCTGAAATTGGTGAGTGATAGATATGTATTAGTTCAGAGTCGCTGATATGTATAGACACGGTCGATTATCTCCTAAAGTAAAATAGCTATCGAAAAATCATAGGCTGTGATACGCTGGGTTTCACTTAAACGTGCTATTTTTGCAAGAAAATTATTCACATTAAATGTATTTTTGACATGCCTTCTCAAGATAATCGCTATTAGACAAAAGAACGACTCGGCGTTTTTATGGAGGTAGAACCTTTCAAAGATAACTTGATGCACCAAAATATTTTTGTATAATTTATAAGAAAATGATTTTCAAAGTTCTATATTTCAAAAACGGTTAAGTTTAGGTACATGATGTGCTATACGAATTTTGTTTAGAATTTCGAGAAGAATTGAAATGTGGAATAATATACGGGCTGTTCCAATAAAGAAAAAACAACTTTGTTTCGCCATGACTTTTGGCCTGATCCTGTATATGTACTTAACTTTTCTTTATTGCAATAGATTTTTAAAAAGCCTAAAACGTTTGTATGTTATGATTTTTCGACAGCTATATTACTTTGGGAGATAACTGACCGTTTCCATACATATCAGTGACCCCGTAAATATATACACACTGTCCCATTTTAATGTACCGAACAAAAGTTATCAGGTTCCGGGGGGACCAAATTATCGTATCTTGAAATTAACCTTAATGTCAATTATCAAGGTCAACCTTGATTTTTTTAATGGAAACCCATATTTTTATTACAGTTTCGTATTATGCGGGAAAAAATATGTAAAGTTTGTATGAAATTTTTTTTTTTTGAATAGACTTCCTGTAATCTGTGTTATTTGAAAGTGCCCATAGCAGGATCTATGTGACTTTCACTGCTAAAGAATTGTTTTTTTAATTTTATCGATCTCTGCATTTTTCTACAGCAAAATCGTAGATGACATATTTATAGAAAATTAAATTTAGTATAAAAAAGTCCTCGGTAAAGTATTAATTCACGCGATGAATAGATTCAAACGTGTGAAAACTTAAAAAAATTCCTGTTTTATCTCTATAGACTTTTTGAAATTTGTAGATAGGACTCTAATTATCGCCTATGGACAATAAAGTAACGTGAAATGCACCCGAGATATAGATAATTTAAAAAATAACGGTAGGTTTACGTGTTAAATGAATAGCAGATTTTTAAAATCAAATAGCGATTACTAAAAATAAAAACTAGCAACTGAAATTTGGTGAGAATTTTTTTTCCAATGTTTAGAACAATGTTTCGTCAATGGAGCGGAAAAAGGAAATGTACGTTTGAAACAAAGCACCCTAATATTTATAAAATGGAAAACTTCTTGAACCTTTTGTCTTCTAATTGGGATTATTTTTCTTAGGTATCAGGTTCTAGTCTGACAGTCGGTCAAAATGATAAAGAACAGCAGCAATAATTTTTTTATTAAAATTCTAACGTTTTGTCCCGATCGAGAACTCTTTTTCAAAGAATATTCTTTAATCTAACCATCTCATCTTACTTTCAAAGTGTTTATGAACCGTATTACGTACAGAGACCACTCCAAATATTTAATTGCACAGATATGAATGGTGGTAATAGTATTTCTTTAGTACAAATAACAGAGCATTTGCTATCCAATAAGTTGGTTGATATAGATCCAAATAAAGGTGCTGGTAAAAAACTGTGCCCCAATTTGGATGTACCCTCTGTCACTAATATTTAATATTAGTATATTATTTGAATCGATTATATACGATAGTCTTTTATGGTGGAACAATATGGTTACTTTTCTAAAAGATCTATCGAGACTAATTTATTATGCTAGAACGAATAGGTACATTCGTGGTGCTATGGACCGTCGAATTCAGGTGGACGCCTTGTATACAGACAGTAGTAAAGCCTTTGATAAAATTGATCACAATATTTTGATAGCTAAATTGGCGGATATCGGTATACATAGTGATATATTGTGTTAGTTTGCCTCATAAATAACAAGCGTTCAAATAAAAACGTGGTCAAGTTGGTTCTGAAAATTTGGACGTAGGGCGTGGCGTATAGCAAATGAACTTAAACGTCATCTGTCAAAGCGCTATATCGCCGCTATCAATTTGAATATTTTCGTTTTAAAAAGCGTTTAAAATGNCAGGTGTAATGATTGTGATTACAAAACTATATACAAAATGTATATCAAAAAGCACCAACTCAAACATAAAGACCCTTCACAGGTTCAAATGTACAAGTGTAACAACTGCGATTACGAAACTAAATACAAGAGTCATATCAAATCACACCAACTAAAACATAAAGATCCTTCTCAGGTTCAAACGTACAGGTGTAATGACTGTGATTACGAAACTATATACAAAACGAATATCAAAAAGCACCAACTGAAACACAAAGATCTTTTGCAGGTTCAAATGTACAAGTGTAATGACTGCGATTATGAAAATAAATACAAAACGAACATCAAAAAGCACCAACTCAAACATAAAGACCCTTCGCAGGTTCAAACGTACAGGTGTAACGACTGCAATTTCGAAACTAAATACAAGAGGAATATCAAACGGCATCAGCTGAAACATAAAGATAAGGCGTACCGACTGTGACTATAAATCCAAATGCAGGAGTTGTATAAAATATCACATGCTGAAGCATAGAGAGCCTTCACGAGTGCAAATGTTCGGGTATGTATGAGCATGCGAAGATGTGTCGCGGGTTCAAATGCATCGATGTGATTCTGGAACCAAGCATAAGTAGTCTCTAAGGAGATATCTGTTGCTGCACAAAAACATTTGTGGGTGCGAAGTACGGCCCATTAAAACGCAAAATCCAGTCAAAAATGAAGTTATTCAAGGGACCGACCATGGATAAGTGAATATGAAGTAGAATGTAAAGCCTGTTGTGAAAAACATCGGTTCAAACAAAAACTCTCCCTGAAACAGAAAGAGACAAGTGATTTCGGACTAGTGCTTTTGTAACAATACATTAAAATGAATACTTTGTAATATACTGTAATAATTGCAATACTGTTTAATTTATTTTTAATATTAATTTTAATAATTTTTTTTTTTTATATATATATATAATATATAATAATATTATCGAAATTAAATTAAATTACTTATTTGGATTAAGTTCTATTATTATTATTATTAAATTGAAATTATTATAAGAACTATACTTTGATAATTTTTTTATATTCAACCACTCTCATCTTAGGGGTCAGTTCTAGTAACAATATATCACAATTCATAGACACAACAAAATTAAAACTCGAATCATAAATTATGTCTATATTATAAATTATTAATTCAATGATGGTTTCAACAATTTCAATTTTTCTTGTATTTCTACAAACAATTGTAAACAATAATCCTCAGTTAACAATATTTACGAAATACTAAATTCTAAATTATTTTCATATATAATCA